TTGACGCTTCAGGAAACAGAAATTGGCTTTAGGAACTCAGATTGCAGATAAACCTTGATTTGAGCAGAAAAGCAGGTATGCTGATAGGGCATATTTCATAGCATGCTTTGCCAGATTTTTTTTTACCTCAATGTTTATAAACATATTTTGGTCAATATCAACTTGACGTATTTCTTTCAATTTTGCATTTAAAAAACCTGAACACCCCTCATTTTGAAGGTGTGTGTGTGTAGAATGTTGCTCCTATTTTGATTTTGGAATTCACTCTTCAGTTGTCAAAATCCCGTCCAAGCAAGAAGAGCAGCGTATCAAAATTTTGCTCGCGCATCGCGAAAATCCGAGCTACTCGCACGCAAAGTTGGCAAAATCGCTAAAAGTTGCCAAATCAACCGTTACAAATGTAATTAAAGTGTTTGGGGAACGTTTGTCGACAGCCAGGAAGTCTGGATCGGGGGGAAATCGAAAACCGGAAGCCGCTGAGACGACAAAGAGCTTGAATAAACGTCTGCTGCCTTTCCTGAAGAAACACGGTTGTTCCGTACTGTTTTGGCCGGATTTGGCATCTTGCCATTACGGTAAAAAGGCCATGGAGTGGTACGCCGCCAACAACGTGCAGGTGGTTCCCAAGGACAAGAACCCTCCCAACACGCCAGAGCTCCGCCCAATTGAGAAATACTGGGCTATTGTCAAGCGGAACCTAAAGAAGACCAAAAAACTGCTAAGGGCGAGCAGCAGTTCAAGGCAAACTGGCTTTCTGCGGCGAAGAAGGTGGACAAGGTGGCTGTACAAAATCTGATGGCAGGGGTCAAGCGTAAGGCCCGGCAATTCGGATTTGGAAAAGTGGAAGCCTAACTGAATATTTTTCTTGAATTTTATACTAATTGAACTTGAAAAAGTAATTTAATTTGATTTTTTAAATAAACGATTTCACCGATTTACACGCGTTTTCCCTTGACCAAATTTTGACCGTATCACCCTTTACAATGGTTCCTATGATGAGTTTTCAACGTATGCTGTCCAGTTGTCAAAATGACGTCCAAGCAAGAGAAGCAGCGTGTCAAAATATTACTCGCGCAGCATGAGAATCCGCCTTTCACACACGCAAATTATGTGAAGGTGGATTTCAAGCAGCTTCTGGGACAGGAGTTTTATACCGCATCAGGAAAAGAGAAGGTAGCTAAAATTTTCAAAACCATCAAACTATGGAAGTACCCAACAAATATCTCGTCTGGCTAGTTATATGCACGTGTGGTCTAAAAAGCGGCATTTTCATTAATACGGGAACCATCAATCAAGAGATCTACGTCCAGGAGTGCCTGGAAAAACGGCTGTTACCATTCCTAAAGCAACATAATAGACCTGTGCTGTTCTGGCCGGACTTGGCGAGTTGCCACTATGGGAAAAAAGGCAATCGAGTGGTACGATGCAAACAACGTGGTTGTGGTGCCCAAAGATCACAACCCTCCGAACAGCCCAACGATATTGGGCCTTGGTCAAACGGAATCTCAAAAAAAAAACTAATAAATCCATGGAAAACGAGCAGCAGTTTATATCTAACTGGCGTTCGGCGGCGAATAAGGTCGATGAGACCACTGTGCAAAATTTAATGGAAGGGCTTAAGCGGAAGACACGGCACTTCGGATTTGGCAAACCAAAAGAATAAACGAACATTTTTTCCTTTAAACATATGAATTGAACTACCAGAAGAAAAATAAGAAGATTTCTGTAATATGAATTTTGACTGAAAGAAACGATTTTTTTGTCGACCAGTTTTTGCGGGTTCCAGTCTTTATGCGCACAGTAATGAAAGGGTGTCCAAAAATTGCTTATAATTATTATAAAGCTGTACATCAAATTTTTTTATTATTCAGCCTTTATATGAGAAGCACCTGTAGATCGATAATTCTGCGTCCTGTTAGATTTGAAAAAAAAATATTAAAAATGATTGTTTTTGGGAGTTGGTTACTCATGGACTAATAATGAGTAACGACATGACAGGTCTGATCTCAACTCAATATCCATGCAATTTTCATCAGAGTTAAGATGAAACTTTAATCTGAACAACTTGGAATTCACCTCATACTTCCCTATCAACTCTTTTCAGAATTACCTTAGAGTTCTGAAATTCTAGAGCAATTCAGAGTTTTTAAGTAATTCTGAATGTTAAGGCAATTCAATATTAGCTAAGTCAAGTAGCTCAGCATTTCAAAAAATGCTAGGAATTTTGAGATTCCTTTTTCCACAGTTATTAATTGATAGCTTTCGATTCCTGCACCATGTTTGCATAAGTTTAATTGTGTGGCAAGTACAATCATTCTCTATGTCCAGGGAAGTCGACAAATTTTCTAACCCATCATCCACCTCCAATTTTGCACCCATCCACCTCCAGCATGGTCTTGCTTTGTAGATACACCTTTAAGAGACTGAGTTAAGGGCGACACGTTAAAAAAATGCTAATAATTTATTTTGTTAATGTAAAATTAGTAAGAATTTATCGAAAAATCATTTTAAAAGTTCCAAAAATTATAGCTCTTTTACATCATGTACTTTGTGTGTATAGGTGTCGTGAATATTTCAAACTAAAACGGTTTAAATATAAGATCCCACAACAAAGAACCTAATATTTCACTTATGCAGCAAACATGCTGTAACAATTCCATGTACGATGTTGCAATTGACGCATTTCGCGCCAAATCAAATCGAAGGTGACAACACCCTCTCAGATTTCAAGAAATTTTCTGGATGTGTAGACTTTGACTAAATTAGCACTTTTGCATACTCAGTTTTTCCAAAATTTATCTAGGCTAACATTTGAGAAGGGCCAAACTTTTCAGCCGATTTTTTTCAAAAAATATGGGAAAATGACAACTTCTACAAAAAGGTGTTGTATGGATGAGTTTTAGGAAATTGTTCAAGTTTTCGAAAAAAAATACTGAAAAAATTCCATTAGAAACCTACACTGAAACAAATTAATTTTTGAAATTTAAAATCGATTAAAAAATGGCTATGTTTTATTTGGAAGAAACTTTGCTTCAAGATAGGTAATAATGTTCACCACCATCCGTCTATACATTGGGATGGGCACTTTTAAGGAAAAAAAGTTTTTCTTACAAAAACTTTTTCATTTCTGAACTGATTTTTTTAATGTGCCATTTTCACACAAAACTAAACCAGTGAAGCACAAAATCATCTAAAAAAACAATAAAGTTCAATTTGTGATGCAATTTTGTCTATTCAGCAACTAATCACTTGGATTAATCGAGAATTCCATATGAAAAGGGCTTATATCATTAGGAAATAATACAATTGATTATATTGTCTACTACTGAGGCAAAACCTGATACTTCTATAGCAACTTAGCATGCTTAGCTAAAATTATCCATAAATAATAAGGTATGAATAAAATTTAAATTGAGATCTTCTTTCGTATAAACAACGATTTGGGAAGTCAACCTATCCTTTCATAATTCTATATGTCCTTCTGTTATTTATACCTAAACCATTAAAATTATATACCTACCACTTCATTCTACCTATGAGATTGTATGCAAGCAGCAGTCAATCTGGTAACGAATGTTGTGAAGACAAGTTTTAGTAAAATTATCATGGACCAAAGTAGTAAATTAAGGCTCAAAGGATTGAAATGTTGTGGAAATAAAAATAGTCCGAGATGCAGCCGAAATAAGTTATGGGCCATATCGTCAACGATGACAGAAAAAAATACAGTCTATGGGATATAATCACAAAATTGATGAAACGATGAGCATATGCGAGTAATGCCGTAGCGTGATATCTCATAATAGAAGTCCAGTTATGAAAAATGCCGATCGATTGGAAATGAAGTGAATATCCAATCAATATCAAAATTATCAACTGATAATTTGGACAATTTCCTAAAAGTCATCCATACAACACATTGTTGTAGTAGTTGTCATTTTTCCATAATATTTTTTTTGAAAAAAAAAATCGGCAAAAAAGTTTGGCCCTTCAAAGGCTAGTCTAGATAAATTTTGGAAAAACTAAGTATATGCAAAGTGGCTTATGTAGTCAAGGTGTGTAAGGATTTCATTTTATTTTAATTCAACAGATACATTTAAATAATCCAACTTACAATTTGGTTTCCTTAAAGGCAATATAAATCCAACAAATTTATTAACATCAGTAGAGAATCTAATTAAATACAGGTTTAGATTTGGCTTCAATTGCCCTTTCTCTCAGTGTCACTACTGATGAATGATTCCCTTTACCTTGCTAGATGTCAAATTATCGATCATTCCATTCCGTCACTGATGACATTTGTAGATCTGGTAGATCGATGGCTGCGCCTGCAACATCCCCCGACCCGTAACGTTGAACTTCCGTTTCCGCTTTACCTGCTGTCTCCATAGCCAGCACAGCTAGCTTCGAAACTGGTCGACGTAACAATCCATTCGAGGTCTGTACAACAGCTTGCCGCGTTCTTCCATCGCGTCCCACAACAACGAACACAATCCGGTCACGGATCTACCCATTGCGAGTCCCTTCGTCCACTATTACCACGAGATCCCCGGTTCCGATTCGTTGTGCTATTTCGTACGGTAAGCGATGGTAGGTAAATACTCCCGGATCCATCTAGTCCAGAACTGGTCGAAATCCCAGTTGGTCCTAGTTACTTGGTCGACTTCGGCTAATGTCTTCGGAGATTGAACAAATCCACTGGAACTCAGGTGAATGAAGTGATTAGGAGTGAGTGCCTCTTGATCGCCAGCTTGTACTGGAACAGACGTCAAAGGACGTGAATTAACGATAGATTCTGCTGCGAAAAGGATCGTCAACAACGTCTCTTCGTCTGGGTTTCGTGAACTGGAAAGACTGCCGAGCGCCGTTTTGACACTCCTTACTAGTCGTTCCCAAGCTCCCCAAAAATGTGGAGCTGAAAGCGGGTTGAAAACCCACTTGGTATTAGTGTTGGTGAACACTTCGGCCAATCCTTTGTGAATATCCTCAATTTCTGCTCGGAGCTAACGGCTGGCACCTTGGAAGTTCGTTCCGTTATCGGTGTAGATTTCGCAAGGCGCACCTCGACGAGCAATAAACCGACAAATGGCTAGTTTGCAGGACTTCGACAACAACGAATAGGTGACATCCAGGTTTATTGATGATTTATTGATAAACAGGTGAATAAAGCAATCCACCTTTTCACGACACTTCGTCCAATCCGAACTTGTATCGGGCGTATCCACGGAGTGAAACGAGCTGTAGGTAGGGGCCATTCTCGGGACTATCGGCTTCGCCTTCTTAATCTCGCAGTACTGAAAATCTTTAATGACCCGGTTAACGACTGTACGCAGCTTAGATATGAGGAACTGCTGCCGAAGCTCGTTAACTACTGTTTCTTGGTTGCCATGTAAAATCTTGCGATAGTAGGCATCTAATAGCAACTCTGTCATACGGTGATCCCGCGGAAGAATTATAGGGTACTTGAAGCTAAAGGTCGCGTACGGAGCTGCACTCAAACGGCTATCCACACGCATAACACCGTGCTCGTCCAGGAACGGGGACAGTTTGTATACTTTACTGGTTTTCTCCATCGCTTGCTTCGACTTGTTGTCTCTAGTCTTCAGGACCGCTACTTCAGCAGGGTCCCGCTTGTACCGACGACCACAAGTATTTTTCAGCTCATTGCATCTCTTCTTGACAAAGACCTTTATCCAACATCCTTGGTTGATTCATCCTTGGTTGGCGTACATTACCCAAGTAACACACAAAACATCTTTCTGAAAAAGAATTAGAACGACTTGTTGTATTAATGTATTATAAGTGATGCATAACATATCCCATGTTTTATATGAGGTTTAAAGATGTTTTCTTCATACTTCCTAGAATTCAACATTTTCCAAAATAGTTTTCTTTTGCTTTTAACTTTAAATGTTATTCTAACGTGCATATTACTGTTTTAATACCACTATAAAACTTGTCCTATGCAAAATCAATCTTAGTTGAATTGATAAAGCTCTTGAAGAGATTCTGCTCTTTCCAGATTGACGTGGACATTAACGGCGCCATTGAGCCGGACTGTCACTTCACGCAGTCATTGACAGTTTCTTATGAGGTTTTTGGAGGTTTGTTATAAAGAAAGTTGAAAACACTTTTTTATGACACCTCATAAATTAATGCAACTGAAAAGGTGGAGGATGTGTTATAAGTAGTTGAAAATACATATAAATAACACTCTGGCAATTAAATGTACGCATTGCTGCTTACAAAACTTCTTTATGACGGATCGAAGCAGGCGTGTTGCACAAGAATATAATTTTCATGCCATAGGCAAGAACATGATAGATATTTATTATTAACATTTTATCAAGCGGAATTGGTCTAGTTAGGAAGTAATAAGTCTTTCACGCCAAGGACCTGTGTTCGAATCCCATGCTCATTTTTTTTTTAATCTTTGCCGCTGGTTTTTATGATGCTTCAAAAACATGTTATAAGACCAGTATTTAGTTTTATAAGCTCCGCTTCTTGCGCTTTTTAGGTTGTATAAATGTATTAAATGATGTAAATTAAAGTATTATTGATTCTATACGTAAGTCATTGAAAAGTTTTTTCAACTTCATTATGATAAGCCGTGTTGCTTGGGTAGCGATGAAGCGTTTAACATACCTTATGCATTTTAACAGGCGCTCTCACTTCGAAAATCTGTTAAAGTCCACCAACTGCTTACCGACGACTGCTCGGTGTACAATACTTGGACGTAGTTCTTCGGCGCTTTCGTCTGTCTGCTTCGATGACTCTCTTGGCCACTGTTCTTCTTGAAGATAAAGAAAATCCGGATCACGGAACCACGAGCTATTCATTTCCAAGCAGGGACCCTTGCCCTCTTCGTCGCTTGGTTAGCAGCATTCTTCTTCGACGGTAGGTACTTCCACTCGGCCGCCTCAGTTTTTGAAAGTACCTCTCCAGCTGATGTTGCTCGCAGTGAGGGGGGTGACACTATTAAATCTCAAGCCTAGATGCTCAACAAATCTCACACTAGCGAATCAATCTTCGAAAAATCTTCTTTCAAGTCTCGCATCTACTTGCATAGCGCATAATCTTTTTGCAGGAAATCTTCAGAATCGTCATCAATCTTCTTTTTATCTACTCAGCGTGCGCGCAGCTAGCCACAATAAAACACAATCTTTTCTGCATCGTTGATAGAGTCGTCCCCGGCTCGCAGTTCGTTCGGATCGAGCAATGGAAATGATTTTATAAAGTACTGTTTCACCGGTACTTAAACTAAAATTCAATTCACAAATTAAGTACAGATAATCGATTCAGTTTCCTCCTACTATGAAATCTACGTTTCTCGGCAACGCTGGTGCACTTGGATCTAGGCCCTATGTTGGTGTAATTGTTTTTAATTGTTCTGTTTGATTAATTTCTAGACACAAACACAGTAATCTACAAAAACACCAAATTTTACTTTCACAATATTTAAATAAACTATTTCACATACAAAATCGACATTACACTTTTTATACTATTCCATCACAAGTGGACGGACGAAAGCACTTCACTAAATTACTAATCTAATTTTCAAAATAAGACTTTCACCATCTCGAACGATCTTCTTTCTTGAATGTCAACAACAATAGATTGCGATGGCTGATTCCACTGCGCGAACAGCTGCTTGCGCATGTATGTATGCGTGTCTTCATTTGGATTTCTTCCGTCAAATACTGCCAGTTAACCGGGTGCGCTCACAGTCTTTGCCCATTCGCCTTGACACCATTCCCAAAGTGACGTTTCTTCACACACATTTTGACAGTTCCTTATGGGGTTTTGCGTTGGAGTGAGAGAATAAGAAAAAGTCCGCCATGTTTCACACATAGACTGACAGTTACATACGAGATTTCTCCATAGGAGTAAAGAGTTACAGAGCTCTCGTCAACGCCAATTCGCAACTGGATGCTACTTTCGCCGAAAAAAAAACCCTTTCGCTGCTGGGCGCTCGATTTTACCGACGGCGACACATTATGTTTAAACAATTTGGAACGTATTTTAAAAAAATCTGTCAATAAACGTGATCTGTCTGTGTATCTGGAATACTAGCAACACTGCTCCCATACAGCTTGGATCTCTCTTGGACGATTTTTGGAGTTCGATTCAATTCATCTTTACAGAAGTTGACGCATTTCACGATCAATCTGAGTGGGAAAATCAAAATGCCAAATTCGGGGCAGATAACATTGACTGCAACTACTTTTTCGTCATTCTTTGGAGTCAGTAAGACCTTATTTTCAAGATGGCGGAGAGCAGACCAAGTGCGTTGTTTACCAGTAATATTGCCTCTTTATCTTTGTATCCTTCAAATGGATTAAGTGCATTGGATTAATTACAGAAATTACGTTGATTGATTACAGTGAATCAAACTAAAAAATTTCTGCGTAATTTTGATGATGTTTTGTTTGCAGTAAGTCAGAATATTGTACATTGGCCTTAAGCACGTCAACTATCGATTACATCACTAAATTTCCCGTTGATGGATATTATATATTTTTTGCTGTGTTCACTTCTAGGTTTATCAAATTCTAACTACACGCAACTGACATTCCATCAAAAGCCGATCATGACGACCAGTGCGCCTATGGCTATTTTTTTTTATTCAGTAGGTAGATAGAAAAATGCAAACAATGAAAACAAGAAAAAAATCAATTAATATGCACTTTCCATTTATTCACGTACACATACACGCCTCGAAAACAACCATATCGATGACGATAAATGACTACCGTGTTTAATTAATGAATTCAATAAATATTTGCATTTCAGGTGCGAGATTACAGTTTATACTGCAGATCTCGCCGTGTAGCTTGCGTTGGCAGTTGCCGGAATGTGATTGATTGGTCAGCCATTATTGGTGCTATCCGATAGGGGTCGCCGGTGGTGCCTGATGGAATCGGCGGATGTAGGTGTTAATAGTTTCATTCATTTAAACTACGACCTACCGGCAAATTATCTGCCGGTCGCACAGCACAGTGAAGTGAACTCTCGTGCTGAGGTTGAAGTATCGGTGTATAATATATGGGAAAACAAAAAGCGGTTTGTAACGTGAAAAAAGTAATTACGCTGTGTGGACTCAATTGTGCGAATCGCTCGGTTGACTGCCAAGGTGTATCACTTGAAGCTTCCCTAGCAAGCCTAGTAGGCCCTACCGAGCCCACGACCGAGCATGAAGTGTTTGGAAAAAGTTACTCTTTGCGAGGCGCGTAAAATGGTGATTGATGTTGAATTGTTTTATGGTACGTGCGTGAGCGAAATTTATTGTTTTGACGTTTTGTTTGTTAGTCATACACGCAGGGAGGGAATGATTCGGAGATTACTTGCTGCTGGGCGGCTTATCAGTCACCGAGTCCGAGGGCCTCGACAGCCGAGTGCCTGTCTCGCAAGCTGACTAACTGATTAACTGACGGACCTCGGCCGGTGGTGACTGGCATGCACGAAGGGTAAGGAAGATCCGGACGGGTTGATTTTGTGTGGAACCGTGGGAAACGACAATCAGTCAGTGGCGTTTGGAGAAGATTGAAAATAATTGTGTTTGCAACTAACTTAATTAGGGAAGTAATCATAGATTGGCATCTGGCCGGGGCTTAACGCTGATTAAGCTGAGAGTTTTTCGATAATTTTTAAATAATGCCTCAGTACGGTGATAAAATTTCTGAGTAGAATGTCTGGACTAAATGCCAAGGGTATGGTGCAACAATTCGGCGATATGACCGGAATAAGTTCCAGTGAGAACGTGGCTTGAAACTAGAAGCGAATCGAATCACACAATTACATGCATATAAACAAAATATGATTCAACGGAAGTCATATTGTGTGCGCAGGATTACATTGATCTCATTCGAGCATATTCCGTGTGTCCCTTGGGAATTGGCCAATATCTGACTAGAACCAAAACCATCATTGTTATACCCGGAAATGTTATAAGAGCTTTAAGAGATGTGTGAAGTTTTTTTTACGTGGCCAAAATACATTACATCACACCCTCCCCATGGACATGGAGGTTGACGGTACTGAAGCAAAGGGTTATGTTTAGCCTCTTTATATTTGCAACTATGATGATTTCCCATAGTAAAACATATCACCTTCATAATGCTGCAGTATGCCTCAAACGATTAGTTCTTGGTTATTAGTAGTACTTCAATGATGAAATGGGCTGCTTCATGCAGACGGAGCAATTCTGATTATCGTATCTGGTTTGGTCTGTATACAGAAGAACAGGAAGGGCTTTTTTTAAACTTCTCACCAACAAGGTAATTGGATCTGCTTCATGTTCAAGATGTTCAATATTACTTGCGTAAAACTTGTTTTCGCGTAAAATTATCAATGTATATATTTTTTTATTTATTAAAAATCGGTTGATTTCACTTGCAAGTTAAACCTTTAAAACGTATTAAGTTTTTGGTTTTTATTTTTTTTTGTAATCTGATAGATTTCCCAGTTTGGTTAAAAAATTCGAAGCTAACGCATGTCCATAGGCCTAATAGAAAGATAAGTAGAAAAAAAATGTATCATGAAGAATGGTTGCGTGCAATATTTTGAGAAT